AAGTTGGCCTGCTTTTTTAACGAGGTTTTTTTTTTTTTGTTTACATGATGTCAACATGCTCTCCCAGTGTACGTGTGTGAGGAGAACTGTTCTTCAGGACATGAAATGTAAGTATTAAGTGCATTAATAGATCTGAAATAGAATGGGGGAACTATGGCGTCAGAACCAGGAAGTGTAATTTGCCGAGGGCTCCTTTGAGATTTTTCTATGGGGTTTTTCAATTTATGAATAAAATAAAGCCTGTGGTAAACATAACTTGACGATACTTCTACGTTTTGTTTTACAATATAAACTGCACACACTCACAGCCTAAACCTTCTTACCTAGCTACTTATTAAAAACATATGTTTTCAAAAATTAAAGTTAAAGTTTTACCCTCTGTGCTTATTCCAGGAGGAATTGGGCGAGCCACACATCACTGACACAAACACCTCTCCTGCTGATTTTGTTATCATGGACAACGAAACCACTACAAGTCCTGCAAGCACTGCAGTTGTGATGAGATGATCTTCCAGTGTTTGACATTCAGAAATACACAGTTCATGCGGTTCAAAAAAGGCTGAATAAAAAATCCTCAATTGTATAGCCACAGTTGTGCGTGTGCTTTTTATGCATGAGTGTATTTTGTTTAGTTAGTATTTGTATTTAATAAAGCACTACTGCATTAAAATAATTGGTAAATGAAAAACATTACGTATGATAAACAATCATTTTAAGTACACTGCAATTAAACATTAAGCAAAAACAAATGTAAGCTTTTTAGTTTGACTTAATTGTTATTTATAATTAATGTTAACTTAAAACATTTGAGTTGCTTAATTAAATTTTTTGAGGTAATCGGTGTCTACAACAATTTTGAGTATTCTGAACTTATCGGGTTTTACAGTGTGTACTCCAAACCTTATAGTTACTGAGATGTGAAGAGATTCACTGTAGTTTCTGCAGTTTACAGTGTGGCTCCTCCAGTAGAGCAGAGAGCAGCTTCACTCCTGAATCTCCTGGTTTATTATCACTCAGATCCAGTTCTGTCAGGTGTGAGGGGTTTGATCTCAGAGCTGAACGCAGAGCAGCACAGCCTTCCTCTCCAATACTGCAGTAACACAGCCTGCAGAGAGAAAGAGAAAAACAGCTCAAATCAATAATTATAGTCATGTGTTATAAAGGTTTGTTATTGAAACAATGTAACACTATTCATCTCCATCTCTTCAATAAAAATATGTCTGATTTGAAAAGTGTGTTTTCCTTTATAAAGTGATGGCTATTCTATTTAATGATTTATCAGTCAAATACTGCGTGCATCTCTAATGAATACTCACACAAATCTCAGTCACATTGACATCCTGACATTTATTTCTTTCATTCAGTTGTGGATTCATGTCTTAATGATAGCCTGTGTTTTATATAACATGTTAGTTTTGTTCCTTTAGATTCACAACACATTCCTACAACCCCTACTGCAAACCGAAACAAGAGGAAAATGCAGCAGATTTATGCTAACACTAGTTTGTCTTATGATTTAGTTCTCGAGACTTGAGAAGTGATTAATACTGTGTGCATCTCAAACAAAACCACTGCTAACGGGAAACACATTTGTGTAATTTTACCATTTACTCCAAAGTGAAGAGACTCACAGTAGTTTCTGCAGTTTACAGTGTGGCTCCTCCAGTAGAGCAGAGAGCAGCTTCACTCCTGAATCTCCTGGATTATTATTGTTCAGATTCAGTTCTGTCAGGTGTGAGGGGTTTGATCTCAGAGCTGAACTCAGAGCAGCACAGCCTTCCTCTCCAATACTGCAGTCACACAGCCTGCAGAGAGAAAGAGAAAAACAGCTCAAATCAATAATTAATAGTCATGTGTTATAAAGGTTTGTTATTGAAACAATGTAACACTATTCATCTCCATCTCTTCAATAAAAATATGTCTGATTTGAAAAGTGTGTTTTCCTTTATAAAGTGATGGATATTCTATTTAATGATTTATCAGTCAAATACTGTGTGCATCTCTAATGAATACTCACACAAATCTCAGTCACATTGTATTCATCCTGACATTTATTTCTTTCATTCAGTTGTGGATTCATGTCTTAATGATAGCCTGTGTTTTATATAACATGTTATTTTTGTTCCTTTAGATTCACAACACATTCCTACAACTCCTACTGCAAACCGAAACAAGAGGAAAATGCAGCAGATTTATGCTAACTAGTTTGTCTTATGATTTAGTTCTCTAGACTTGAGAAGTGATTAATAAAGAGGAATCTATCTGCTCAGTAACACAGGGATGGATGATTAGTAGAGCTATGAATTGAACCAATCATGAAGTGCACCTGTAACCTTGGTATTTTAATGCATTTCTTATATAAATATGTGTGTAATATTTTAGTCATAGTGTCGTTCTGCTGTGTTTAAAGTGACTCCTGGCCAGTAGCTAATAAACATTCAGGCAAAGAGGAACTTGGGACTCGCGTGTGGTAGTTTACAATGGGGCTAAAAGAGGACTCGTGTAAAAGGCTCATTTAAAATGATTACAGACTTATGTAGCAAATGAGCATCAAAATAATTACAGAATATGCTTTGAGACAAAGGTCTTGTTAATGTTTTCAGTTTTGTTGAAGGTAATTACACCAACAGTTTTTCAATAACTGAAGAATATGAAAAGTGCAGTATTTGGGGTAAAAAAAAGCATCCTTATACTGTTATCTAATGTGATAAATAGCTGTCTGACTTTCCATTTGTTGACATGATACACTTTAAAAATTATCATGATTTTAACGGTAAAAGACTGTAGAAATGCCACAGTAAAAACCTGTTAAATGATTAACAGTAAGTTTCCTTACAATATATGGTGAATAACTGTAATAGATCTAAACTTTGTTTTCAAGAAAGTAGCCTCAGATTCGACACACAGAGACTGTGTCTGAAATCACACCCTACACCCTCATTCACTAGTCCCTACATTAGTTCACTATATAGTCCACTAGACCGAGTGATTGAAAACTAATGAGGGAATTCAGACACTGATCAACAGCTGCTGTTAACAAGCAGAATCACTGAAGGAAAGAGCAAGAAACAAAACTACAACTAACATACAGCCACATATTTAGATGAAATTAGCCTAAATAAAACAGCAGATGATGATTAAACAACTCCACAAGCAGCATTACCAGCTTCACTCATTACTAACCAGACTCACTTTATTTCTGTCATATATCAACACAAATGCTTTGAGAATTAACAGAGGTGTATATTGTATTGAAAATGTTTTGTTTGGCCTCACCATTTTGGCGATCAGTGGTTGCTTTAGTTGGGCTTTTGACCCTTGAATCTTTAATGTTAGTTTGTTGTAACTGCTTGTGTAAATCACATTTGTTATGACACGAAAAACTGAGAATTAACGTTTGATGATGATGATGATGATGATGATGATGATGATGATGATGATGAAATAATCATCTTATGACCTTGTTCACTGATCACACAGACATCAAGAATCAGCACATGAATCTCAACAAAGTACAAAACAATTTTTTTGGTATTATCACCAATCTTGAGATTCATAGGCTGATTGTTGATGTCTGTGTGTGTTTAAGTTCTGCCATAGGTCAAAGCTTTTATTTGTGCATTTTGTGCTTAGGAATATTTCACAATGATTGCAGTAGTATCAGTGGTGCAACTCAAGAGTATTACTTATATGTTACACACTTAATAAAAGATTAAACATTAGGTGAGATCAGTGAATCACCCTAGTTCAGGATAGTCTTGACATCACAAACACCAGTTCTATCTGATCATAGATTATGCTTTTCTTGCTATAAAATCTGTGTTAAACACAGCTAATTTAAGCAACCAAAGAAAAACTATTTTCTTTAAAGTTAAGGTTCAAGAGCCCAACTAAAGCAAACACAGATCGTCATTATGGTGACTTCAAATATTTTCGGACACTACCATGATGAAGATCAGTGTTTGCTTAAGTTGTGATCTTGAACCTTGATTTTTAACATTATCTTTAATTGGCTGCTTTAAAAGTTGTGTTTTATCAACACATTTGTTGTGGTAAAAAAGAGCCAAAGCACAATAATGCTGTTGGCTGTGCTTTGCAAATGAAATTGCCATCTTTAAAAAAACCGGTTCATTGATTTTTTCCAGAGTCTCTTGTTGTACCAAAGTGATGTTATTGCAACTTATTTGAGCAAATGAACATGCGGGCTATTATGAAAGATTGCACAAACCACTTAAATAAATAAGATTAACAGGCTATGAAACACACACATAAAGAATCAGCGTATGAATCTCAACAATGGTGACAATCAAAAAATTAATAAACAGATCGACTCTGAACATCACATGCTACTAAAACGCAACACAAAAACAAAAGCAAAAATAAAAGCACCTAGTAAGAATTAAAGAAAATAAGTGAACAATTCAGCAGCATCATTCATGCCACAATGCATGCTGGGAGTTATGTTGAGTTTTGTCCTGTGCTGGTACCCAGCATGCATTGCAGCATGAAGCTTTTGATTGTCACCATTGTTGAGATTCATGTGCTGATTCTTGATGTCTCTGTGTGTCCATCATAATTGTCTATCATCTCAGTTTGCAGTGTCATATAGCTATCTTAAACAACATGAAACAAGTGAAAACCCATACTATAGTTTTCAAGATCAGTGAATCAGGCCACTAAAAGATTATCACACCATCATCAACAAATAACCAGAACCATTTAAGCACAGTTGTGTTATGCTTTTATTGCTATAACAAATGTGCTTTACAATTACAGTTACAACAACCAGAGAAGCTAGCATTAAGAAGTGAAGGGTCAAGAGCATTACTAAAGCTAACACTGATCGCCACGATGGTGAGGTCAAACAAAACGTTTTCAATAAACCATCTAAATCTCTAAATTCTCAAAGAATTTTTGTAGATATATGACAGAAATAAAGTCAAACTGTAATGCTGTTTGTGGAGTTGTTTGATCATGTTCTGCTGTCTTATTTCAGTTGATTTCATCTAAGGCTGTGGCTGAAGTCAGTTGTAGTTCTTGTGTTTCTCTTTTCTTCAGTCATTCTGCTTGTTAACAGCAGCTGTTCATCAGTGTCTGAATTCACTCATTAGTGTTCATTCTCTCGGTCAGGTGGACTGTATTAGTAAACGCATGTAGGGAATAGTGAATGAGGGTGTAGGGTGTGATTTGAAACACAGCCTCTGAGTGTCGAATCTGAACGCTGATACTACAAGGACTGCAGAAGGTTACTTTCTCGACAATAACAAATATTACCCAGAATACATATTTTTTTTACGGGATTATAATGTTGTAATGAAAAAACAGGATGTTACTGTCAGAATATGGCCGTTTTTTTACAGCAATTTTTTACAGTGCAGTTAACAAAAGTAAATTATTTTATTTCATTAATTTTTTTATGGGGCTTCAACTGAGGGCAACAAACAAAACCACTGCTAACGGAAAACACATTTGTGTCATTTTACCTTTTACTCGAAACCTTATAGTTACTGAGATGTGAAGAGACTCACTGTAGTTTCTGCAGTTTACAGTGTGGCTCCTCCAGTAGAGCAGAGAGCAGCTTCACTCCTGAATCTCCTGGTTTATTATAGCTCAGATCCAGTTCTGTCAGGTGTGAGGGGTTTGATCTCAGAGCTGAACTCAGAGCAGCACAGCCTTCCTCTCCAATACTGCAGTCACACAGCCTGCAGAGAGAAAGAGAAAAACAGCTCAAATCAATAATTAATAGTCATGTGTTATAAAGGTTTGTTATTGAAACAATGTAACACTATTCATCTCCATCTCTTCAATAAAAATATGTCTGATTTGAAAAGTGTGTTTTCCTTTATAAAGTGATGGATATTCTATTTAATGATTTATCAGTCAAATACTGTGTGCATCTCTAATGAATACTCACACAAATCTCAGTGACATTGTATTCATCCTGACATTTATTTATTTCATTCAATTGTTGATTCATGTCTTAATGATAGCCTGTGTTTTATATAACATGTTAGTTTTGTTCCTTTAGATTCACAACACATTCCTACAACTCCTACTGCAAACTGTGACAAGAGGAAAATGCAGCAGATTTATGCTAACACTAGTTTGTCTTATGATTTAGTTCTCTAGACTTGAGAAGTGATTAATAAAGGGGAATCTATCTGCTCAGTAACAGAGGGATGGATGATTAGTTGAGCTATGAATTGAACCAATCATGAAGTGCACATGTAACCTTGGTATTTTAATGCATTTTTCTTTCTCACCAATCAGAAGCTTCGATGGATAGATAAAAGGGCCAAAGTCAGCTCATTCAGGTTTGAAACAATGGATCCAGAGAGACATGAAGGAAGAGGTCGAGGACACCAGAGAGGAGAAGGAGTAGGGAGTGGAGGAAGAAATGAAGGAAGAGGAGGAGGAGAAAGAGGAAGAATATATATATATATGCCCCTGTAACACTTAATGTTGTCACATTTTCCTGGTTAAATAAATATTACATAAAAAAGCAAACAAATATAATTCTATTTTGTATTATATTATTATTATTATTTTTAATTTAATTTAATATTTGTTATACTAATTATACATTTCATAGTGTTTTTATGCATTTTTATATTTATTCCAAAATAATAACTAAAGGCATTAACAATTTGAACAATATATTTTTTTAACAATTTACAGTATTGTTTCATTAGTTAACTACTTTAGTTAACATGAACTAAGAATAAACAACAGCCTACTTCTACAGCATTTATTAATCTTCGTTAATATTAATTTCAACATTTACTAATGTAATATTTTTAATTTATGTTTGTAGTATCGATTATTTTGTCATCCGATTTTTGAGGAGACACTGCCTCCCTTGCCTCCTCGGAGGGAACGCCCTGATTGTACTGTAACTGTTGCACTATACTGCTGTAATTCAAAGACATGCATCAAATTGCCTCACATACAGATATAATTTCTGTATGTGTTACAGTTACAGTAATCAGTACTTCAATTTTTGTCATTAGGTAGTTATACTCTGCTGTGTTTAATGTGTTTTGCAGAGAATCTTTGAGATTGAAGGTCGGCCTGCTCCCCATGAGATTATCTTTGTTGATGAGGCTGGGTTTAACCTGACCAAACCAAAAGAAGGAGAAGGGGGAGGAACATAATTGGCCATTGGGCTATTGTGAATGTCCCTGGTCAACGAGGAGGGAACGTCACTATGTGTGCGGCCATCAGCCAACGAGGGGTACTCCACCGCCATGCCATTCTTGGACCTTATAACACTATGCTCCTCCTTGGTTTCCTTGATGGTCTAAGAGAGCGTGAGTTCCAGCTTGACCAGAGGGAGCCAGCACAACCAGTGCTGCCTTGCTATGTTGTTGTTTGGGATAATGTCAGCTTCCATCGCTCCATCGCTTCCATCGCTTAGGGGACCACACGCAAAATAACTTATTACCAGTTTTTGTAGTATTGTTTTGAATTTATCACATTATTGTGTAGGACTGTGTTGTAGTGTGTGTTTTTGAGGGTTTGTGTGTCATGTCTGAGAGCAAAGTTTGGTTTTTCAGCAAGACTGTTTTGAGTGGAGAGCTTCATTTTGACCTGAATATAGGACGTTAGGGGAATTGAGTTAGAAGTTATGGATTTGTGTTTAGAGTTCTGCAAAAAAGAAAAAAAGGCATAATTTCAAGAAATGTGTTTAAGCAATCGAGAAAAACTGTAAGTAATAATGTGATCTTCAAGCAGTACACAGTAAATTCCCGAGTGTTAAATTAACACTGCTTGGAGCATATATGGTCCCACTCTAAAAGAGTGTTAAAGTAACACTGAAGCGGTGTTAACATTAATTAGATAATTATGTGATTAATTAAGTGCTGATTGATCATTAGTGATGAACAGCTGCTGTTAACAAGCGGAATCACTGAAGAAAAGCGAAACACAAGAACTTCAACTGACTTCAGCCACAGCCTTAGATGAAATCAACTGAAATAAACTACATTAAATCCATCAAGATTTCAGCAGAAGATAATTAAACAACTCCACAAACAGCATCACCAGCTTCACACATTACTAACCAGTTTACCAACTTTTTTTCTGGAGTATCTAAAACAGAAATTCTTTATTGAGAATTAAGGTTTAGATTTTTTTTTCAACTTACCGTTTTGGTGATTAGCGTTTGCTTTAGTTGCCTCTTGACCCTTGACTTGATAAGAATACATTTCTCTTTTGATGTTACAATTGTGTTTATAAAGCACATATGAGATGGCAAGCAACTTTTGATTAAGCCATTTCACGCATGTGAGTTTTCATTGCATATTATCTAAATCTGTAGAGCTTTTATGATTTCTGTATTATATCATGACCTACGATCCAAGATAATGTAAGAAATCAAAATTGAAACATTTTTAGAAATATAGTTCATACAGAAGTTTAAACTCTGGCACTCATAGAAATCAGCATATGAATCTCAGCGATGGTGACTAAATATTCTGACCATTTTGATTGTTTTTTTGAACGTCACAAAACAAGACAGTAAAAAGTCACAACAAAAATAAAAGCAAATAGTAAGAATAAAAGAAAATCCTAAAACAATGCAGCGGCATAATTTATTCATGACACAATGCATGCTGGGAGCCATGGATGAGTTATGATTGGTGCACCCAGAATGCACTGCAGCATGAATCTGTCTGATGATCATCACCATCGCTGAGATTCATATGCTGATTCTTGATGTCTATGAGTGCCAGAGTTTAAACCTCTCTATGAACTATATTTCTAAAAATGGTTCATTTAGTTTTTTCACATTATTTTATATCATAGAACTGCAATAATACAGAAATCATAAAAACAGCACAGATGTTGTACACCGGTGTGCAAAATGTTTTAAAAGCCCTTCATGTTTCTTTAAAATGCAGTTGTGATCAATAACAAACCGTATCACGCATCACCACTGATGACACGCGACAATCGGGACAAGCACAACATCTACAACAGTATCATATTATAGCCAACGTTACCTGATTATTTTTTCTCTTGGTTTTTCTTACCATAACCAATGTGATTCATAAACACACTTACAGCAACCAGAGAAAAACTAATGTTAGAGAGTCAAGGGTCAATAACTCAACTAAAGCAAATGCTTATCTCCACAGCGGTGACTTCAAATTGTATTATTTTCAATAAACATTAATATCTAAACCTCTGTTAATTCTTAAGACATTTTTTGATGCATGACAAAAAGTCAAACTGGTTAGTAATGTGTGAAGCTGGTGATGCTGTTTGTGGATTTGTTTAATTATCTTCTGCTGAGATCTTGATGGATTTAATGTAGTTTATTTCAGTTGATTTCATCTAAGGCTGTGGCTGAAGTCAGTTGAAGTTCTTGTGTTTCGCTTTTCTTCAGTGATTCTGCTGTGGATGAAGTCAGTTGTAGTTCTTGTGTTTCTCTTTTCTTCAGTGATTCTGCTTGTTAACAGCAGCTGTTCATCACTAATGATCAATCAGCACTTAATTAATCCCATAATTATCTAATTAATGTTAACACCGCTTCAGTGTTACTTTAACACTCTTTTAGAGTGGGACCATATATGCTCCGAGCAGTGTTAATTTAACACTCGGGAATTTACTGTGTACATGGTTCAATGGGCATAGTAAAAAAGTATTGACATTGAATATATACACAATTAATAGAAAAAGGAAGGGTGGCAGCATTCACAGTATAATGCATGCTTACTAATTTCTTGGTTAATAAACAACACCAGAAATAACAGAATGTGTGTAAATGAAAATTAATTGAAGGGTTAAGTTTATTAGTTTTTTTCCTCAGGAGTGTGTGGACCCCCTTCACCTAAGGAGACTGGTGTCCATTTCAATGGATGGGCCCAATGTGAATTTTAAATGTTTTGAACTCCATTCTTCCAACAAGAACATGCAGAAAGGTATGGAGGTTCTCAACTTGTTGCTGTGGGGAGCTGTGGACTCCACACGTTACATAATGCAGTCAAAAGTGACTTTTCCAAATGGCAAGTGGAGAAACTGCTGAGAACCATGCACACATTATTCCATAATGTGCCAGCAAGGAGAGAAGACTACACTGCTGTGACCAAGTCCACCGTCTTCCCTTTATCTTTCTGTGGTCATCGGTGGCTTGAAAACGAGCCTGTGATAGAGAGGGCTCTTGAAGTTTGGCCATCACTTACACAGTACATGGATGCGGTGAGAAGAAAACAACTCCCAAACCCTGGGACAGCATCTTTTGACACAGTGGAGGATGCCATGAAAGACACACTCATCGTGGCCAAGTTACACTTCTCCTTGACTGTTGCCAGGCTTTTCAGTCCCTTTTTGAAGAAGTATCAAACAGATGAGCCAGTGATGCCTTTCCTCAGCAATGACCTGGCTGAGCTGATCAAGGTACTGATTTATATGGATAGCTCTGTACATTATCAGCACATAACTATTGCCACTACTGATTAGGCTTAATTGAATTCATTAACATTAACACTTTGTTAATGAATAATAAGTAATTTCTTGAACTTTCATTAATTGGAATTAGGATATGATATATATGGCTTTATATTTTTTAGAAATGTGGGCACCAGATACTTCCATTTACTTCTGAGATTATTTTTTGGCAGAGTCTCCTGAGACGCTTCATTAAGAGGGAGGTCCTCCAGGATATCACCACACTGCAGATAACCAAACTGGATGTAAC